CACTATATGAAACACCATTTCAATATGTAATACAACTTTTAAATTTAATGTAAACAACTTTGATATGAGATAATAAATACCTTTGTTAAGAGTTGTAATTGGACATTTATCTATTATTCTGAGTAATGTTTATGTAATGGTAATGCTACTAAAAAAAATTACAAAAAATCAGTTGATTTTTAATATTTTAAAGTTTGTTGCAATCTCTTTTGACAGTAATTAAAATGTATTAATTATGATTTGTTTATTTTAGTGATAAATGAGAAATAGTTATTAAATTGTAAAGAGGGCCATGATATTTTTGTCAAATTGGACATTCTAATTTCACAGTAACATTCTTCATTAATTTTAATTAACAGAATAAACCATTAATTATCTGTAAAATTATATTTATATAAAATATTTATTTAAATATGTAAAAATCTTAATGACAAGAAAACACTAAAGACTCTAATTTCTAAACCGGATCTGTAAATGATTTTTTTACAATTAATTGCTCAAAATTGATTATAGATAAAAATAAAACTTTGCCCAATGAAATACGCTTTTCGTCGTCTGATTTACGTATGGATAAGCAATATATGTAATTATGTATATCATTGGGTGTGAGACACTCTGTGGAAATTTAAAACATTTCTTTACTAGCGAATCAAATCCAGGTTTCCAAAGTGATGTGTTTGTACATCCACGAATGCAACAAGTTTTTTCGATAATGATATTACGAAAATAATTCGACTTTATTTAATTAATAATTACTAAACAATGAATGCCGTATAAAACATTAACAAATCTCCCCCAAAAAGTGCACATTTTTGTCACCAGTTGGCGTTAAAGTCATGACGCACGGTCCCTATTGCTTACTTTTTTACTTTCCTATCTGTATACAGATATAAGGAAAGTATAGGAATCATGATTTTTTTCGACCTCGAGTTTTCGACGGATTTTTACGTTTTGAGGTCCCCTGAATCCGTTTTGACTATTTTCGCGATGATGTCTGTGTGTGTGTGTGTGTGTGTGTCTGTGTGTCTGTGTGTCTGTGTGTGTGTGTGTGTGTGTGTGTGTGTGTGTGTGTGTGTGTGTGTGTGTGTGTGTGTGTGTGTGTCTGTATAACGCATAACTCATGAACCGATACACAGAAAAACACCAAATTTTAAACTTAAGCTTTGTTTCAGCGTCCAATGAGCTGATTAGATTTTGGGCAGAGTCGGAACATCTGGGGGGGTACTTTATAGGTGGTCATTTTTATATTTTATGGAATATATCTGTTATTTACGTTTGGAGAAGAAAATTCTTCAAATAAAAGTTACTTCTAATATAATTATCTATAATTTTTGTTATATGCAAAATTTTCCTAAAATGGTCCGTATTCGAGAAATTTGACAAAATGTAAAAAAAATAATTTTTTATAAAAATTATTCAAATAAAAGTTGTTTGTAATATAATTCTCTATAATTTTTATTCTATACATAATTTCTCTAAAATGGACCGTATTCGAGATATTTGAGAAAATGTGTAAATTTCGAATTTTGAAGAAAACTCAAAAACGGATATAGAAAAAAACATTAAATTTTAAACTTAAGGTTTATTTCGGCCTGACGTGCAATGATTAGATTTTGGACAAAGTCGGAACATCTGGGGGGGTACTTTATGGGAGACCGTTTTTATATTTTATGGAATATATCTGTTATTTATGTTTGGAGAAGAAAATTGTTCAATTAACAGTTACTTCTAATATTATTTTCTATAATTTTTGTTTTATGTCAAAATTTCCTGAAATGGTCCGTATTCGAGAAATTTGACAAAATGTGCAAAATTCTGATTTTTTTTGTTTTTACGTAATAACTAGATAGGAAAGTCATGTGTTGGACACATCAGATTTTTTTTTATATTTTTCAACGTATCTGGATTTGCCATCTAACTACAGAATTATGCTGTAACATTAGAACATAAAAAACCTCTTAAAAATGACAAAGTTGCTCATCGTATAAAAATATTCATTTCTCTAGTAATTTTGTCAAGAATCTTTATCATCTTCCAAGAAAAGCAGGTATTCTATTTCCGATTTTTATTAAAATTCAAATAAAAGAAACACAAATAGAAAGTTCCAAAGAAAATCTCGATTAGATAGTTTGATCCACCGATGTCGACGGATTAGAATAAAATCGGATTAAGAATGATTTTTATTACGGTGCATCGCTAAAAATGGTACTAAACGCGATTAAACCCTTAATCTGGATTAAACGTGTACGGTGCATACGGGCGTTTTTTTTAGACATACACAGGAATCATAAAAGTAACAAAAACGTCTTTTAGAGCCATCATATGTCGACATCCTTTTTACACCACATACTTTGAATACTATACGAGGCAAAAGAGAGGTCCGACACGCCCAACATAGGGCGCGGCCATTTTGAACCCTGTGACACAGTTTACAGCTAAAGAATCAGATCGCTCACTCTGCATCGGCACTTTGGATCTCAATGTTTCAGTTTATACACTGTGCAACTCGGATAATACAATATATGACAATCGCCTATAATAAAACAGCAGTCTTCTGCGTATCCTGAATTTGTATCCCTGGAGTGGATGTTATTTTGGAACTTTCAACTGGTCCGAGTGAGCTAACTGATTCCTTAGGAATAAACTGTGACTTCAAAAATAATATTCACTGACACTGACAGCAGCAAGCAAAATATCAGGTGCGTTTTAATCATCCGCTTCTGCTTCCGGAATTGTCGGTTTAGTCGTTTTAACCTGTCAGATTAAAACAAGAAAACCGACAATTCCGAAGCAAAGGCGGATGATTAAAACGCACCTAATAAAAATATTGCGCCAAGATGTAGGCAACACGTTATAAGGGTTCAAAATGGCGGAGTTTTCTATCTCCTTTTAAAAGGCACTCAGAAAGCTGCGCAGTACGACCATTCTCCGTATAGTAAAAGAAAATCAAAGTATGTGTTTTACACACATACTTTGATTACTATACGGTGCAAGAGAGAGGTCCGACACGCCCAACATAGGGCGCGGCCCACATACTTTGCGCGGCCATTTTGATTCCTTTGCCACAGTTTATAGCTAAAGAATCAGATCGCTCACTCTGCGTCGGCACTTTTGATCTCAATGTTCCAGTTTATACACTGCGCAACTCGGATAATACAATATATGACAACCGCCAATAATAAAATAGCAGTCTTCTGCGTATCCTGAATTTGCATCCCTGAAGTGGATGTTATTTTGGAACTTTCAACTGGTCCGAGTGAGCTAACTGATTCTTTAGCAATAAACTGTGACTCCAAAAATAATATTCACTGGCACTGACAGCAGCAAGCAAAATATCGGGTGCGTTTTAATCATTCGCTTCTGCTTCCGGAATTGTCGGTTTAGTCGTTTTAACCTGTCACATTAAAACAAGAAAACCGACAATTCCGAAGCAGAAGCGGATGATTAAAACGCACCTATTAAAAATATTGCGCCAAGATGTAGGCAACACGTAATAAGGGTTCAAAATGGCGGAGTTTTCTATCTCCTTTTAAAAGGCACTCAGAAAGCTGCGCAGTGCGACCATTCTCCGTATAGTAAACGAAAATCAAAGAATGTGTACCAGCCCCCACATACTTTGAATACATATCAAAGGAGATTAGTTTTTATACATTAAACAGCATGTCACAGCATGTATCCAACATCCTCCACCTTGGGGTCATTAACAATGTAACTAGACAATAAAGATATGCCCAGACAGCACATAAAAATATTTTATGAATATTCAATGCATATCTCTACTGCATACTCCTATATTCCATGGATATGCCATATCCGTCATGGCATGTGACAGGAAGAGGTCACCATGAAACATATGCCCACGATAGGTTTTATCTGCCAAAATATATGTATGGCATGTTCTCTGGATGTACTGAGGATATTTAGGTATGCCTATATTCATGGTATTTTAAATATTCATGGCATAATGAACTTATTTTTGTAATGCAGCACCATAGTTTACAAAATAAAACCCATACTTAAATACAAATTTGTAATACAAAATAAATTTTATTTGAAAACTAAAGTAAATTTTCAAAAAATAAAAACAATATATTCCCTCTTTTCATCACTCATCTTTATGATTATACTCGAGATTGTCGTTATGGCAGAAATAAGTATTATATATTATAATAAAAAATAAATGTAAAAATTAAAAGAAATTGGATAAAATTTAGAAGATCAAAGAAAAAAAAATATATCTTAAGAAGTAATAGCAGTAGCGAAGCTTCCGTTAATGCGGGTGATGCGTCGCATCTCTTCAAAATATTGTCAGCTAATATCTTATTTGAAATAAAATCAGATTTCTTATTAAAAATTAAAACTTTAAGTGAATTTATTCAAATAAATAAATTCAATTTAATTTATTTATGTGCGTATTTGTTGAGCTTTAGAGAATACGGTACTATGCTACAAATATAAATATTTCTATAGCGCTATGATGAGAGATGCGATGTTTCTCATTACATTCTGAACGCCTGGTGGGTCGAGCCGAGGTCAGCGATCTTTTCGACCGTGACTCCACTATAGTCCGGTGTTTCCGCTGGTGAGTAATGCGGTTTCTTAACAATTCGCGAATGCCACTATTATAATCATGTTCTTGCCCTTCATTTGAAGAAATGTAATAAATATTTTGTCAAATCTGCACACTAGAAGGGTTGATCTTAATTTTAAAATTTTAAATCTAACAGATACATTTACATTTATGTTTTTTTACGTAAACTGCCTTTCATTAATTATTTAGTTCAATTTAGTCCAATATTAAAGATTTTACTAATATAATCTTGATTGTTTTTCTAAAAAGTAAATCGCAGTTACTCATTACATCCTCTTAAATCGACGCCATGCTACGCCACTGAGTAATAGGAAAAGTATTTTTGATTTAAATAGAGGACGAATGAAATTAACAAAATTAGCTAAACAATATTCACTTCATTGGTTAAAGGTATTTGAATTAAAATATTTTGAATAAAATTGATAAACAAATTATTTATTGTTTTATAAATTAAAGGATAATTAGATATAGGATTAAAAGTTTTAAACAAAAGTTATAAAACCCAAAGGGGAATACGCGGGGTGTATGATGCTTTGACCTTAGGTGGGGGAGTGTCAAGGTCATTCAAGCTCAACTTTATTTGTTTATTAATAGAAACCCATATTTTATATTACAGATTTATATTCTTTGGCCAAAAATACGTAATTATTGTGAACAATATTTTTTTGAAATTAGTTAACGTAGTAAATTTGAAAATGGAAAATGGAAAATGATGAAAAATATAAGACAATAAATGGAAAGTTAGTCAGTATAGCATATTTCTTGCCTCTTTAAACGTGACAGAAAAAACTTTTCTTTAAACTGCAAAATTGAAATAGAAATTTTCACGTTATTTTTTTGAGCATATCAATGATATATGTATACTTGGAAACGGACGCGTGGCAATAACTCTACAGGGCTCAAAAGCTGACAGATGAACATTTATATCGCAGTGGCAACGGTAAATTTTCATTTTCAATTTTTTTTGTATTTGCAATCTAAAACATGCAGTTTTAAGGAAAACTGATATGTTGTGATGATAAGGATTTCAACCGATTATTAAATTTAGATTTTCACCCCACTTGCGGAAAATGTCAGTTTTACTTTTTTGAGGATTCGTCAAATTTACCTTCAAAGAAAAAACGAAGAAACTGATGTTTTATACGTTAATATTTTGAATACTATAAATATTTCTATAAGAAATCGTTTTCATACATATGTTTGATAAGATTTAAAATAGTCTCTTTATATTTGTCTTGGTCATATTTAAGACCATAATCATCAATTTCATCATGTTCATCGTATTGTTCTCTATCCATTACATCTTTAAACCCCAGCATGTTACTGAAATCGGTAGCAAATTTGGTAGGCCATACTATAACTCCCAGAATAAAACCATAAACGCAATATTTTTTCCACTCCTGTTTAAAGGTTTCATGAGGATATATTTTTTCTGCATCACAACCATATAATTTTAGAGTTCTGCTAAGTTGGTTGTGATATATTTTTAGTAGATATTCTAAGTTGTCTAAACTCTCTTTTCCAGCTCCTGCATAGAAAGCGTAACTAATGTCAAGAACTAGCGATCCGGTGTAGCCAAGCTGAAAGTCTATCAATTTAATATCTTCGATTTCTCTTGCTGACTGAAAGTAAAATAAATTATGTTATTATTTGATTATCTATTCTCTTTACATTTTTTGTCGAATTTTGATTACTGTTTAATCACAAAAAGCAAACAATTATATTTAAAAAATTTTGCTTTCCAAATTGAGCACACCTACATAAATATATTAAATCTACTAGTATATCTCATTCATTTTCGATCCCATTTATTTAATTTTTTTATCAATCAATAAAATCTTATCACCTTGCTATACTTTATTATCTATTTATTAATTTATGAACTTCATCACCCTGTCCTAAAATTAAAACAATATTCTTCCTAATCAGCCCCTTATGAGTAAATTTTAACCAAAGCTTATGCGGGGTGGGGACCACTATTATTATATGCCATGGTGCTTTGGTGCGACTTACAGATGACTATTGGTGCCATTTGATTAGCAGGTGAGCAGAACCCGGAAATCCCCATTCATTATCATGTATTAATTAGTTGAGAAAATATTAAAATAAATAGATCCTAAGTTATTAACAAAAATATAGTGTAAATTCTTGTTAAACGAAGGTACTTAAACAAGTACTTAATACAGACGTATATCATTTGCCCCATTTTAAAATTTCAATAACATTAAAACAAAAAATATTTGCTTGACATGTTAGATTGTTAAATAAAATGATATGACTAGATTATTAAGAAAATCAGTGTTCAGTGAGCATTATGTTACAAAAATTGGGCAACAGAAAAGAATATATTCTAGTGATTGTTGCTGTTTTTTATTACAAATAGTACAGAGTTCAGTCAAATCAATGGTATAGTTAGATCAGATTTAATTAGGACTGTGAGCCATGTGGCCTCACCCACCTCAATCTTTTTAGATCTGTTGTAGATATCCTTTAATCGTTGTTTAGAGAATCTGCTCTAGTTGGACCTTTGGTAGTAGACTTAAGACTATAAACAAGTTCTCAGGCTTAGCTAGTTGCCCTTGGTGCTTCTTCTCGAAGTGTAAAGAATTTAGTCTTGATAGACCTTTACAGAAGCATAAAATGTGTACTGAAGTTTCCTTCTCTTCTTGTCAGAATCCGCACAAGGTCTTTTCTACCAGACAGATGCTATTCATATGTTTGTTAAGCCTACAATGCGCTATTAAAAGGCCCACTAAGTACTCTAGTATTTTTCCTATTGTGGCTTAGTAGATGCTTAGTAAGTGTTGGCGATGGTCTAAATCTTTGGCCTGTGTCTGTCTTGGTAAAATTTTCTACCATTCCTGAGACTTTTTAAAAACATTCATTTTTTTGTGCATGTTCTGCATGTGTTTGTGACACCACAGAAGGGTTCTGGGTTAATAAGAGCATTTCAGGCTCCTTTTCGGGCTAGTCAATTAGCATCTTCGTTAATCTTATGTCCTTTGTGGTCTAGTGTCCTGGCTTAGGTTAGTCTGTTTTGACTACCCAGCTCTGTTAAGACTTCCAACACAAGCTTCAAGTGTACCTTTATGGAACTGAGTGCTTTTAACGTCACTTTACTGTACGAGTATATGAAAATTGTTTTTCCATTTGCCTTATGTCTTAATACCTCTTTTGCGCAATGATGTATTGCTACTATTTCTGCCTGGAATACTGTCGCATGTTTACCTAAGCTTATTGAGATGTTTGTTTTTGGCTTTATTTACCTACTTCTAAACCTTCTGTATACCAGGTGAATTCGTCGTGAATAGGAGGTCCTTCTTTCCACTCTTCCATATCTAGTATACATACTTTATATTGCTTTTCAAAACTATATTTTTGGAGCATTACTTCTAAAGGCATTACCTATATAGCTCGTTGTAGTAATGTCTATCCAAACTGCTTATGGGTCGTGGACTGTGTGCAGTAGGTATGACACACCTGGCTTCACCTTGAAAAAATATGTGTAGTGGGGTTAGCATTACTTCTAGGGCTGCTGTTGGAGTTGTTCTCATGGCCCCCGTGGCAATTAAGCATACCTGTCTTTGAATACCGTTAAGCTGTCGATTGGTTCCAGCTGGCCGAGTCTTTGTCCGTATGACTATTAAACAGCCATAGGGATATTTTTGGTTGTAGTCCCCATTTTTGTTCCACACAACCTTCGACATTAGTTAAAGGATATTTTGAATTTTAGGGTGATTTTTTGCAGGTGTTGATTCTGTGTAAACCTTAGGTAAAATATGACACCTAAGTATTCGGTCTCTTGGGCACATGGAATCATCACGTCTTGCAGTACTGGTGCATTTAGTCCTAGTAGTACCTTTCTTTTTGACTATTGTGATTTTGTGAGGGTTTACTGTTAGTTCCTCCGCTCTACACCACTCGTTACCGATATTTAGAGCGGTTTGTGTGCTCCGATATTATACCTGCGAACTTGCCTCTTACGACGATCGCCAGGTTATCGGCATACCCTAGGTAGTAGAAGTCTGCAGATATTAGCCATTTTATAAGTGCGTCCACTAGGACTGACCAAAGTACTCATCCCTGGGGACAGCTTCTACTTGCTTTAGCCGTTAGTGTAGCTTTGCCTAGAGTTCATGTTATTCTTTCTTCTAGGTTGGCTTTTATATTCCGACACATGACTGCATTTCGTTGCTAGTGCATATAGATATTGTTAGAAAATTATTGAAAGCATAATATCTACGAAAGTTGCTACTGTAATTTCTTTATCCTTTATGAATTTTGACAGTAGCCTGTTGAGATCATTTAGGGCCAAATCGGTTGACTTTGTTGGCTTATATGTATATCGACGGTCACTGAGAGGATTTTTTTCAATATTTCGTCTCGTATATATCTATCTATTAGTATTTCTAGCGTTTTCAGCATAAATGACGATAGACTGATTGGGTGATACGACTTAAGTAACATACTATTAACCCTTCCTACCTTAGGAATGTGTATGATTGTCACCTTTACCACGCCGCTGGTAAATGTTGTCAGGCAATACATGCTTTAATATGTGACACATATATGTAATTAAAGTTTGATGTTCCTTCTGTAGTAGAATGGGATATATTCCATCTACTACTGGGGATTTTTTTGGCCGAAATTTGTTCGTAGCCCATCTAATTTTGTTCGGCCTCGATATGTCTGTAGCTAGGCTCCATTTTAAAGGAGTTGATACCTTTAAGGTATACGTGAAAGTATGAAAGGCATATTTGTAAGATTAGTAGATTTTTACTTGGTATATTAGAGATTAAATATTAAAATTAGGAGAAATATTAAAGTTAGAATAAAGAAGAGGGAATTTTGTTTAGCAAAGCGAGGTTGCGTTAATATTTATAGATGTATTAGCACTGAAGTAACTAAAGAAGTAATCCAATTATATCTTAGATCTGTATAGAGGTTATTTGTAGCATCCAAGAAAGCATTTTCTTTGTCTTGGATATCTTAGAGCATCCATGGAGAGTACTTAATTTTTTATAACCTTAACTTAAAAATAAAATGATTTAGATAGATATAGTTAGTTTCTAACTAAGGAATCAGGAGTATTAAACGGAAGGGAGGTAAATCTTTTCAAAAACGCAACCTGTACACTCTCTCTAAACTATTCCATACCACAATCCTCAAACAGGAATGGAAACAGATACAAAGATCACAATAGAGTCGTTAAAGTTTTCTCCGTACAGACCATGATTCGGTTCTGGATTTGGTCTGTACTGAGAAAATCGCAACTAAAGTTTATTGATCTTTGGATACCGTAAGAGTTTTCTCTAAAAACAGACAATGAGGTAAATGCAACTTGTAATATGAATATATATGAACTATTTCCACTTATTTGTTGTCACTAAGTAAACTTAAATTAATTGATAATTTAAAACCACTTTCCGATTCTTTCACATTCTGCTATTATAACCAAATGTTCAGCATATACAATGTCTGATTAAATTAAAACCATATGAAAAAAAAAAAAAAAAATATTATTGGTTTTGTGAAAAAATTTATTCTTATTAAAAAATTATGCATGGTCCAAAACTTAAAATGCAATCATCAGATATCAATTTCTTTAGGCCGTATACGAAGTTTGTCAAATAATATGATTTTTGCTGAGGAGTAAAGTACCTTTTTTTGACAAACCTCGTATACGACTGATAAAATTTGCTAGTCGCTGGTTGTATTTTAAGTTATAGACCATACTTGACTTTTTGCCACCAACTGTCTACGTAAGTTGGCGGCATATAAAAAAATTAAATTATGAGAAATGAGTTTTTCTCGTAAACGGCGGCAGCAAATTGAGTTCTATAAAAAGTATTTTATTTACGCCGATTGATGTTACAACCAGAATGGATACGGAAGTTTTAACTAACCGACGCTGGGTGTCGCGACGCTTCACAATTTTTTTGTCAAAAGCATACCTTTTTTATTTTCAAAAATTGAAAGATCTATTCAATACAAAAACTTTTTTAAATACCACTTTTTTATCTAAAACCATTCAAAAATTACGGACTAGTTTTTATGTTTTAAATTTGTCGATTGTCCTACAAAGAATGCTTGGTTTTTTAAATTTCACTAAATCTGGTAGGCTTTGATACTATTTTAATAGAAATAATTAAAATTACTCTGAACATTCCACACCATGGCAACGGAGGTATTTTAGTGGAATTTTTTTTCTCGTGGGGTACCCAACAGCGAATTATACTGGAAATTTTTTGACGTTTACAATAACAGACCATTTTTGACAGACTGATTTTTATTTGTTCACATAATAGGTTTAGTTTTGATACATTTTAGTTACAATGATAAGGTATTTTCTATATTCTTCGGCCACTTCTTTTCTGGCGAAAATGCAGGACTTTGGATGCTTTGAATTATGTGTCTATGTCTAATAAAATATATATAATATTTAGACACTAATTTATTCACCTTTTTTCCCATTCAGCACTTTGAATTTTGCATAGTTTAGGTGCAAATATTCGTGGACAATTCGGAACAAATTTTCGTTTTTCAAGTTGGAGCCACAATCCTCTATTAATCCGAGTAAGTAAGTCATGGTGCACTGATTGATCATTACATTAGACAATTT